ATAACATAGTATATAATGCATATTATATATAATATACACTAGAGTACATGAAATTTGTCAGGGAGCTAGTAAGAGAGGAAGAGATAGGGGAAAGGATCTAAATACAATCAAAATATATTGTATGTAATTTATAAAAATTCAATTAAAAAAGGAAGCAGTTTATGCTGTGACTTGACAGCTCTTCATTTATGATACCTGGCTTCTCCATGATCTTTGTCAAGTTATGTGCCGTACAACTAAATCATGTGATGTGAAACCTTTGGTAAGCACCCTCAAACTTATAAAAGTCTGGTACTTCCTTTGTTCTGGGAATTGCTGTAAGGATTCACCCTGGAAACGTTTCTCTGGCCTCCCTCTCATAATGGCTATCCCTCCCCCAACCTTATCTCCCATGCTTACTTTTAATGAAGTTCTTGTTCAGGTTTTAAAGGGAGTCTTTCCTTCCTTTTAAGGCCCTCATCATGTTAAACTGTACCATTTTCTGTCTAATGTTCTCCCTCCTACCTCCAAGCCCTAAATGAACTATCTCTTCTGAAGGGAATTATATATCAGCTTCCTTTTCTCAAACTGATTGCTGCATCTATATAATTTCTTTTGTTATTTGTATGTAATAGAAACATAGTGGGCAGGGAAGAAAAACAAAACTGGTATCTAGAGGCATGATTCTAGAACTAGACAGATGTGTATTTAAATGCTACCTTTGCCTTGGGAACTGGTAGGCAGGGCCTGCATAACCTCCCAAAGCCTTAATTTCCTCTGTCATGAAACAGGTACAAAAATAGGTTGTGAAGACATTAACTGACATAAAATATGTAACACTCAGTATGAGGCCAGCCATCTAATTCCTGCCCTTCCTTACCACACTGACCCTCCCTCCATACCCACGCCTTCCTCCTTCCCAAGTAGCTCAGACTAAAATCAGCCTCCTACTGTTCTTCCAACTGGGTTATTTATGTCACTCTGGCCACCTGGGAGCAGTAGAAAGGGGCCTGCTGCCCTGGCCTGGATGCTGGGCCTGCAGTGACAGGCCTGTGTGGCTGTGGTCCTTCACATACCACATGCCTCTGGCTTGTAGGAACTTGCCTGTGCTGTTGCCATTTTCTTCTCACATTGCAGGAGTTTCCAGCCTCGGCCTCGGAGCTTGCTATCAGATGATGGGAAAGTCTTCCTCAACTTATGGTTTATCCCCCATCCTTCCGAAGTGCTGTTTATGTACAAAACTCTGCCAGAAAAGGTTTGTACTTTGTGTGTGTGCCAGAGTGGAAAGCGGTCATTTTTTTATGTTTCAGGGTTAAGCACATCAATTCAACAGAACGATTTTTTCAGTGATCCCTAATCACAGAAATCTTTTCATAGCTTCTAATACTTTTACCTGCTTTGTTATAGTTTCTCTTGAGGCTCGTTATTTCATGAATTCTGTTTTTCCTTAGGTGATTAATGAACACTAATTTGGGCTTCCAATATGTTCCTTATTAATCCTCAGCTTCCTCCCAGCCCTTAAAAAAAAAAAAAAAAAAAACACCCTGACTAAGTTTGTTATTTTCCCTTTCAGATATTATCCTGTGTCACTGTAAAATGTTCATTTAAATATAGTCAACCCTTGGTACCACAATTTGTGCATCCATGGATTCAACCAATCACTGATCAAAAATATTGGAGAAAAATTGTGTGTGTACATAGTACACATAGATATTACAAGTAATTGAAGGTGACTAGAAGTTCACAGGAGGCTGTATATAGGCTAAATGAACATAGTGTTCCATGTTAAATAAGGCACTTGAACATCTGCACATGATGGTGTCCATAGCATTCTGAGGTCAAACGCTGCAGATCCTGAGGGACCAGAGCATACATGTTTAAAGATATTGTTCCTTAGTTGTGCTGAAATATTTTATATGTATCTTAGAAAGCATCCTGAAACTTTTTTCTTTTGTTGCTTTTACCTGCAGGCTGCTTTTAAAGCCTTAAAGCTAACCCTCCAGCTGATAGCTTCACTCCACGATATTGTGGCCTACCTTTTCAGCTTTGCCAAACTGGGCAATTGTTCAGCATGCTTTGAATTTCCTTTAAGTCCTAACCCTTTGAGAAGTGATTGGGGAGGAACCGAAGGCATTGGTAAGTGACTAACCATGATTAAAAATCACCAATGATGTTCAGTTGAAATTCTATGAAATTGTTAATATTTGGAAACCCAGAACTATATTTCTTCAAATGAGAGTGATAGGAAGGACGAAGGAAAAGTACCATCATGTACTGTCTCCAAGTGTGCATTCAGCTGATTGATTCCATGTTCATAGGCTCACCAGAAAGTACCCACTTAGTCAGTTGTCCAGGAACCCAGGCTTGGACCCCACCTCTGCTCAGTAGTCACTAGATGCTAGTTACTTTCCTCCCTGGGTCTCTGTTTGCCCATCTACAAACTGGAATGCTAATGTCTGTCTCATAGAAATGTTCTCTGGATTAAAATATAAAAAAATGGGTTGTAAGGACATTAAGTGACATAAACTACGTAACACCCAGTATTAAGGATACATAGGACTCCTTTTCTTCTTCTATCTTGTGAACTCACATGACAAGGTCAGAAATAAGCATGCACTGTTAAGAAGCCTTGAGTCAGTTTTGATTATCTTAGAACCATCTGATAATTCTGTGGTAAGAATGTTGCAGCTTTAGTTTCCTAGTCCTGTTCCAATCAGTGAATGAGCACTGGGTTATGAGACAAACATAATATCTCCATATATTCTAGTATTGACAAGATACTATACAATCTGCTAGGGAGAGAACTTAGTGAAGTGCTTGCCATGCAACCTGAGTTTGATCTTCAGAACCCATGTAAAAATGCTTACAATCCCAGCACTGGAGAAGCAGAGACAGGGGCTCCTTGGCCAGCCAGTCTAGCCTAATTAAAGAACCTCAGGTCAAGGAGAGATCCTGTTTCAAAAAACAAGGTTGACCTCTGGAGTATGTGCATGCACAAACACACACACACGCACGCACGCACACACACATACACACACACACACAGGCACACAGTCATATCCACATGAGCATGCACTAACATGCACACATATATAGAGATATTATACAATAATATCTTTTAAAAAATTTATGCGTATGCCTGTATCTACAGGAGTATATGCCACATGTGTGTGGGTGCCTATAGAGGCCAGAAGAGGAGTCAGATCTCTTGGAGTTAGAATTCTAGGCCTTGTGCATGTTGTCATGTTGTCACAAATGCTGTAGGTTCATATGGGCAACTACCCTGTGGTGTTCACACAACACATTTTCTTTGTATTCATCTACCACCTCTGGCTCTTACAATCTTTCTACCACAGTGATCCCTGAGTCTTCAGAGGAGAAAGTATGATATAGGTGTCTCATTTAGGGCTGAGCACTCTGAAGTCTCTTAGTCTCTGCATGTTGACCAGTTGTGAGTCTCTGTGTTAATTGCCGTCTGCTGTAAGAAGAACCTTCTCTGGTGAGAGTTGAGAGATGCACTAATCTTTGGTTATAACAATAAATCATTAAGAGTCAGTTTACTACTCTGTCAGTTTAGCACAGTAGTAGTAGTGGATTCTTCCCTGTGGCCTGTGATCTTTTCTAGCCACAGGTTCTTGGCCCTAGTCATAATGCCCAGTATAGACTCCATCTTGTGAAGGGGACCTTAAATCCAATCAGAAGGTGGTTGGTTACTTCCATAACATTTGTGCCACCTTTGCACCAGTGGGCATATTTTGCCAAGCCTGTTTTTATTTTAGCTCACAAGGTTTACAGCTGGGTAAAAAAAAAAAAACCTTTTTCTGCCAATAATTTACATAGTACCTTCTAGTACTATGAATGCTAGCCAGTAGAGACAAGACTTAGAGGTCAGTATCAGCTTGATTTCTCCTTGTTTGTTCTATGAGTCAGGTGTGTAGTGTCTTTGGCAACAGGGTCTTACTGTCAAGTTCTGACAATTAAACAAGTATAACAGCAATAACCAGCATTGTTTGAGGGTCTATGGGACCCCCCTTCCCCAGTCAATAAGACCACAGTAGTATCTTTTTAAAAAATAATTTTTATTATATTTATTTTATGTGTATAAGTATATTGCCTGCATGTATGTGAGTGCACCTGTGTCATGCAATGCCCTGGAGGTCAGAAGCGGACTTTGGATTCCCCTAGAACTGGAGTTAAGGACGGTTCATAGCCACCATGTGGGGTGGGAATCGAACCCGGGTCCTCTGCAAGAGCAGTCAGTGCTCTTAACTGCTGAGCCATCTCTCCAGCCCCCCACAATAGTATCTTATAAAGTAAATAGAGTTTATTGGAAGCAGAGACACAAATCTTATTTTAATAATTTGCCTCCCATACAAATTAAATCACTAGTTATGCTACTAGTAATCAACTAATAATAAGTATGGTAAGCCAGGAATTTTTATTTTTTTGGCCTTTTTGAGACAGGGTCTCCCAGTAGTGGGGCTGGCCTAGAACCCACTACGTAGACCAGGCTGGCCTTGAACTCACAGAGATCCACCTGCCTCCACCTTCCGAGTGCTGGGATTAAAAGCATACACCACTAAGCCCAGCTTAAGCCAAGAATTTTAAAGAATGAGATGAGCCTAAGAAACAAGTAATAGGCCTGTTTAGACCTGGTGGTTTTAAGAAAAATATGATCTAACCTGAGTCTATTCCCTTTCAACTGGTACATAAAGAAAAAAAAATGTTTCCGGGGACCCTGAACCTGGTGGCCAGCAGATTTGTGTCATGTTAATAAACAATGAAAGAATCTGACTATTCTGATGTGGAGCACAGGGAAGGGCAGAATGGTGACAAGAAGGATGCTAGATGACCTCTGAGTTGAAGAAGGAGGAAGCGGGGAGATGTCAGCACCACCTCAGCAGGAAGCCTGGAACTGCTGTTAAGATGATCAGCTCTCAAGAGGACCACCAAGTCTTCAAGACATGCATCACAAGACTGAAGAAATACCAAAGTACCCTTGCTAATGTTGGGACTGTTGGAATTCACTCAGAATAGGCTAAGATGCTCAATCTTAGGGAAGCTGCTATGAAATTGTGGGAGCTGGACTTCAGAAAAGGGTCAGGAGAAAGGAGGGAGGGCCGCAAAAAATGGCCTTCCTGCCCTTAGAAACTGAGAGAGCTAGAACCATGTTTCCAGATGATCACAGTTCAGAAAACCCTCCAGCAGCTGGGGGAGCAGGGGAGCCTGTAGGGAGCTGCTTTGGGGGCACTTGCCTCAACTTGGATTGGTGGAAATAATAGGACAGTCCTAGCAAGACAAGAGAAGGTCTCTCTCTGGTGAAGGCCATCAGCCTACCAGTGTGGTGTTGACAAACAGTGGAAATGAGGTGATGGTTGATGACCTAGCGTTCAAGATGAAGGAAGTTGTTTCCTTGCTGTGTGTGCCACAAACATGGAGATCATGGAACTACACGTGGTTCAGGCTTTCTGAGATGTACAATTAGAGATGGCCTACTTGGCTTGCTGCAAGAAAAAAACATTTGTGCTCCAAGGAGACTATGCAAAGTTTTGCATGAACTGATTTGCTGAAAATAGATAAAGAGCAAATTAAACGAAAAAGAAAAAAAAATCCACTAACACAATCATCTTTTTTAAAAAAGGATAGGCTGCTTAGCTCCTGGCCCAATTCCCAGAGGAGCCAGGGAGAACCAAGGTGAAAGAGGAAATGGGAGTCTGGCCCTCTAAGCTGGTTCAGAGCTAATGGAGATGGATAAAATTACTTTTGTGAACTTGCATGCTTTCAATATTTTTAAAAGAGCACTCGGCATTTGAGCACTTGGTCCTCCCCTATGGCCAAAGGAAACAGCTCTGATACTCCGTGAGCTCTCTGTACACTCTGCCACTTTCTCTCCTTCCCTGAAAACCAGCAATTCTCTTCTGAGTCTTTGTGAAGCAAAGGACTTAAGCAGAGTAGGGCAATTTACACAGCATTCTCTGCAAAGGATCAGAAGGCCAGTTGGAACCCCACACAATAAATACACTGTCCCTCTGCCCAACCCCTCTATCGTGTGTGTGTGTGTGTGTGTGTGTGTGTGTGTGTGTGTGTGTAACTTCCCACATTGGATCAGTCTGAGGACACCTGATATTTCCTGGGTTCCTGTGACTCACCCTCAAGCTGTCAGCTGTCTGACCACCTTCTGCCCCACCTTACACCCAGGCTGTTTCCCCACATCTGCCACATCCTCTCCCCAGAAGCATCCTGTCCACACCAAGGCAGAAAGGCCAGAAAGAAGACTGTAAAATCAGTAAACATCAAAGGAAAGGTAGTTCCCATGGCCACAACTGTGTTTTAATAAGGCCACATTTCAACAGACAGCTATTTTTACTTGTTTTTAAACTGTCATAAAAGTATTATGTTTCATTAGCCCAGCGGTCATCTCTTCACTTTTATCTCACATGTACTCTATTTCCCTCCTCTCCTTAAGAACTCTTTTTCTTTCTTATGGCCCTTTTCTAGTCTCATGACCTACACCCACACTCACATAGACACACATATATAAAAGCTGAAAGCTATATTTGCATGAGTGAGAACGTATGATATTTGTTTTTCTGAGTCTGGATTACCTCTGCTAATGTAATATTTCTAGATCCATCTACTTTCCTGAAATTTTCGTAATTTCATTTTTCTTTCCCGTTTAATAAAGCTATATTGTGTGTATGCACCACATTTTCATTATCCATTCATCAGCTGATGGCATCTTGGCTGATTCCTTATCCTTACTATTATGAATAGAGCAGCAGTGAGTATGGATTTGCAGGGGTCTCTGTAGTAAGATGTAGAGTCCTTTAGGTATATACCCAGATGGTATAGCTGGGTCAGATAGTAGGTCTATTTTATTTTTATTTTTATTTTATGTGTATGAGTGTATTGCCTGTATGCATGTGAGTGCACCCGTGTTGTGCAATGCCTCGGAGGTCAGAAAAGAGCTTTGGATTCCTCTGGAACTGGAGTTAAGGATAGTTTGTAACTGCCATGTGGGTGCTGGGAATTGAACCCAGGTCCTCTGCAAGAGCAGTCAGTGCTCTTAAGTACTCAGCCATCTCTCCAGCCATGGTAGTTCTATTTTTAATTTGAGAAACATCAACAATGATTTCCATAGTGGCTGTACCTGCTTATACTCTCACCAGCAGTGATCCTCCCCAACATTTGTTATCATTTGTTTTCTTGATATTAGCCATTCTGACTGAGGAGAGATGGGATCTCAAAGTAGTTATAATTTGCATTTCCCTGATGGCTATGAATGTTGAAGACTTTTAAAAATATTTATTAGCCATTGTGTTTCTTCTTTTGTGACCTGTTTGTTTAGTTGCCCATTTATTAATTGGCAAAGGGTTTTTTTATGTTTAATATTTGCAGTTTCTGTATTCTAGATATTAACCCCCTTTTTGAAGTATAGCTGGTAAAGAACTTCTCCCATTCTGTAACCTGTCTGTTTGCTCTGCTGATAGTTTTCCTTGCTGTGTAGAAGCGTTTTTAATTTCATGAAATCCCATTTGTCAACTCTTGAGGTTATTTTCTGTGCTATTTGAGTACTGTTCAGAAAGTTCTTTTCTATGCTGACATCTGGAAGCATGTCTCTGTCTTCCTCAACATTGCAGATTTCAAATTAACATCTTTATCCATTGTTGAATTGATTTTTTGTCACCACATAAATATTTTGATCACATGCCATCCTGTTCAAACAGCACAACAATAGACATGTTGAAATGTGGCAGTCACCAGGATCCAGCCACTCCAAGGAGTGTGATGTTTTCATTTGCCTGCATTCTCTTGTAGCCTGTGCCCAAATGCTTTGTATATTTACATTCTACTACAGTGCTTTAATCATAGGGCATGTGAGGTTTTATATTTTCCTTTACTACAGAGGATCGTAAACATCTTTGCCTGCTTTCCACTTGCCTCACAGTGTATTGCTTTTAGACCCAAAACACTAGGCTGAGAACAAATGAGGCTCAGTGAGCACTTCTCCTCCCACCATTCACCCCAAACATCTGGTGCAGTTCATGTTATTGCCACTTCTAGCAGATACTTCTTTGTAGACTGATGGGACGGATCATCACATTTAGAGGAATCACAAAAAAGTTGATGACTAGACCCAAATATTTGGAATTATGGGAAAAAACAAATAATATTTTTGTTATGTGTAAAACAACAAATGGATGTTTCTGGACTGCTCATTTTTCCCCAAAGTCACATAAAAGTATTGCAAATATTACCAGTCATTCTCAGCCCCAGATCCACCCTGATCAGACTTACAAATGGCGTCTCCATTCATTCCTACTGTCCTCTGCTTTCCTGATGGGTAAATACTAGGGAGGCCCTGGCAAGGGAGGGGAGAGGCTGCTTGGGTCTAGAAGAACTGCTGAGAGAGCCACCCCAGCAATTCCCTTGAGCTACTCCTGCCTGTGGCTGCCCATGGAGCAATAGTGACCAATTTCCACAGTTCTTCCTATAACACAGATACCTCTCAGGGCAGAAAGCCTTTGTGTCTTTGGAGAGAGCAGATGAGCATTTTTAGACCAGCTGATATTCAGATATCCCTGACAGTATAGGCCTGCTGCACTCCGTGAGAGTTCCTTATTTTTTGCTGTGTTCTCCCAATTTGTCTGACTTGCTTCTTCCCTGGGCCAATGACAGAGGTCCAGGGACAGCTATCCAGATGCAGGCCAGGTTCCTAAATCCATCCAGCCTGAGTGATCCAAAAAGCATCTCCATACAGTTTTGTCTCAAGTGAGTACAGTTATTGTATGGAGCATTCTCTTGTATAAGATGTCTAAGAAATAAGCCAAGTTGCTAAAATGACTAGAATCTCCTAGAAGCTCATGCATGGATATACATGCACCTGTATGTATGTATATCTATGTGCATATCGTTTTTACTCACTTTATGACTCTTGATTCTTTCAGTCCATGAGCCAATGACAGGGAAAGCTGATTTGCATGGAAATGAGTATGGTTATAACTGATGGTAATTTTAAAGTTCTGTGTTCTGAGAACTTTGCTTTCCCATCATGCGTCATTTCTCTTTTTCATTCTATTTTGAGACCACTGCCTTGTAAATCTTAAAACTTTCAACAATATGTTTTCACTATGCTGAAAGCAGAGCAAGATTTTATCTTCCGGAGGGAGGAAGGAAGGAAAGTCAAGTCGGACCTTGGGTTCTAGAGCATAAGGCTTTGCTGGTCTTGCAAAACATATAATTAGCACATCCACAAACAAAGGAGCAGAAGTCTGTTTAGGTGACAAAGTAACTCTGGGGGTGAAAGAAAGGTTTACAGGATTGGTTATGGCAGCTTGTATTTCACACCATCTGACTCCCATGTTGCCCACTTTCTAGGATCTGAGCTACAAGAACTGCAGAAAATGCTTGACAGCCTCCAGAGTCCCCAGGACCCGAGCCAGGTGGCCCAGGCCCTCCTCCTCCGCAGGGAGGTGATGCTGCTGCAGTTTGATGCTGCTGTAAGGCATCTTCTCCGGTAAGGGCTAGAACACTATTCCTGCCTAGGAAATCTGCTGAGCAGGTGTTTGCTGAGGGCCAATTCAGGGAGGCCACAGCTGGCAAGATTAGATGATGAGCTTAAAATAGGGGCATGAGTGGATCCAGCACAATGGTACTGAATGCTTCTTGCAGGAAAGTCTGTCTGTATGGAATCTGCCCTAAAGATCCTGATATTATTAAATGCAATTTCAAAACAGTTTGTTTAACAATTGCTGCTTTTGATATCCTTATTTGGAGTTAAGCTTTCTACTTATTTTTTTTTAGTTTTTTAAATAAATTATTATTTTTTTAATGTGTATGAGTGTTATGCCTGCCTGTGTGTAAGTACACCCATGTTGCGTAATGCGTGCAGAGGACAGAAGAAGGCATCAGACAGGAACAAGAGTGACAGATGGTTGCTAGCTGCCTTGTGGGTGCTGGGATTCAGACCCAGGTCTTCTGCTCTTAACCGCTGAGCAATCTTTCCAGCCCAGCTTTTCTACTTCAGAGGATCATTATTCTTAAGAGTTTTATTTATCTTTCAACTTTATCTTTCAAGGGGACATTTTCACTATGCACCTGAATAGAATTGGATCAAGGAGTTAAACTTATAAGTCAATCTTCCATGATAGGAACCATCACCTCACATATTCTGCAGGCAAAAAGAATGTTTTATTTAGCTAATTAATCATGACTGATGGATTTGGATTGAGTTTGGATTCAGATTCATCTTTCAAGCCAGGCAAGGTGACACACACCTTTAATCGCAGCACTTGAGAGTCAGAGGCAGGTAGGTCTTTGTTCAAGGCCAGCCTGGTCTATATAGTGAGTTCCAGGACAGCTGATTCATGTTTCAAGAGAAAGTTTTATATGAGGGGGAGAGGAGTCCGCCTAAGCATCTCTGCTTGTTTTGTTTTCTCTTTGTTTGTTTTCTTTTGTTTGTTTTTTTTATTGTTTAAAAAAATTTTTTTCTTTTGAACAGTATCTTGCTGTGTATCTCAGAGGAGCCTGAAACTCACTATGTAGCCAAAGTAGGCCCTCAAAATGTATTCCTCCTGTCTCAGCCTCCTGAGAGATAGGATTGTACCCATACAGCACCACACCCAACTCTGATTACTTTGTTTTGGCTTGAAACAAGGTCTTACTTTGTAGTACTTGCTGGCCTGGAACTTGCTAATATAGACCAGGCTGTCCTCAAACATGTAACGGTCTTGAGTGCTGGAGTTATAGGCATGAGCCACCATACCCAGCTTCAATTTCTTTTAAATTATCCAAACTTATTAACTTCTTCTAGTTTATCTCCCGTGTGAATATTCAACTTCTTTTGTCTATACCAGAGAATTACAAGTGTTTCCCACTTTTAGCATTAGACATCTGTAGAGAATGAGGATGTGGGATTGTATTTAATGAACATATTTTTCTACTTTGCTTTTTCTTTTTTCTGGCAGGAATTCTTGGATTTAGAATGTAAATTCAGCAGGACAAAAAAAAATCACCTTGAACTTTTTACTTTCTTTTTTTTTACTTTTAGTTTACAAACAGCTTCCTGAGCTGTGGTCTGACAGGGAGGTTGTAAAGGCTATGACGGTCAGGATGTCATAGAGTAAGCCTCTATGTTCTGAAACCTGAGGTGTTTGTTTGTTTGTTGTGTTAGGGTCTTACTCTAGCCTAGGCTGGCCTGGAACTTCTAGAAATTTTCTGCCTCAACGTCTCAAGTACTGGGATGACAGGCATGAGCCACTACATCTGACCCAAGGTCAGAAATCATAATGAATTTACAGGTAATGAGGAAATAGGATCATCCCACAGAAGGCCTGTTTGGGTTCCTGCTGTGTAGGGTCCTTTCTGGTACTGTTCTCCCTGAGAAATCACCCTGCTTCCCCACAATCTCTCTTTTCTGGCGTGCTTTGGCAATGAAATGGAGGGCACTGTGCCCTATGTCTGCTTTCTAAGAGGAAACTGTCCAGGGGCATGACTTGTGTCCTTTACTTGTTATGTTTCCCTTGCCTTTTTTCTTCTGAGCTCTTTGGGTTGGGAGTGTGTGAAATTGCACAGCTAGTAAGCTGCAGACTAGAATTAGAACCTTAGGTGTGTTTAGCTCCAAAGCCTGAGAACTACGGTAGATCCTGAGCAGCTGCACGGCAAAGAAGGGGACTCAGAAGAGAAGGCAGGAGGTGGGAGAAAAAGAAAGGCTGAAAGGGAGATGTTGTCCTCTCTATCATCTTAGGTAGCAATGTACCTGTGAAAAAGGAAAGTCTTTAGACAGTAATCAGAGACAGGAAGTTGGGAAAGTTCTTAGAGCTTTTCAGAATTTAGCAAAACTGAGCAATCAGGACTGTTTGACCTGGAGAGAGATTTGCTTAAGTAAACCAAAGGCTCCCTCAGAGTTTGAAAAGAAAGCACAGAACTCTTTCCTGGAATGAGAGCAGCCCGTTTCAGTAGAGTGCAGGAGGCAAAAGATGGAGCTCTGTCCTCTGGCACCTGAGGCAAAGACTCAATGAAAGTTTGTGGTTGTCCCCTAATAGGTCAGAGTCATACTGTCTTGAGCCCATCATTTCCTTCTGGGCATGCCCACTGAAGAGTTATCTATCCTATGATCTAAGACGTGTCTGTGGGTTAGGTTTATTTGTGATGCTTGGTGAAGTAAGTGTTCTTGAGGGTAAATGGTTGGTGGAATGATGCTTTGGGCCAGTCTCATCCATGTAGGTCAAAAGTTGGCAAACTCTGTTTATTTTGTGTGACCTGTGGTCTAAGGATGGCTTTTACATGTTTAAATGGCTGGAAAAAAAATCACTAAGAAAATAGTATTTAGTGGTACATGAAAATTACACAGATTTCTTACTTGGTGTCCATAAATGAAGTTTAACTGAACAAAGTCATGCTTACTTGTTTGTTTGTTTTTGTCTTAGTTTTTTGAGAGATGGTCTCACCCAGGCTGGTATCAAACTCATGGCAATCCTCCTGCTTCTGCCTCCCAAGTACTGGGACTCCACGCATATGACACTATGCCTGCAACATGCCCATTTATTTGTGGATTGTCTCCAACCACTTTCCTTTATAAGCAGAGTGGAGTGGGTCCTGCAAAGCCAAAAATAATGGAATTTAGCTATTTAAGCAAAAGTTTGCCATCCTCTGAGTTCAATAATAGAATTTCTTTTCAATTTGTGGACAGAAGGACAGAGGAAGTCCTTCAAAGATGCCCTGTAGAAGAGAATGAAACATGTACTATAAAAAGTGTTTCTGCTCCAAGTGTGCCATCCCATTTGGGGTGATTAAAATAAGAAGGAAAGCCGGGCATGGTGGCGCACGTCTGTAGTCCCAGCACTTGGGAGGCAGAGGCAGGCGGATCTCTTTGAGTTCAAGGCCAGCCTGGTCTACGTAGTGAGTTCCAGGACAGCTGGGGCTACAGGAAGACCCTGCTTCAAAAAGCCAAAATAAAAAAGAAGGGGAAATGGGAAGAAGTCCCCAAAGTAGCTTCACAGACTTCACTCAGGGTCTCAAGGGCATGCATACAGGAGAGGCCAGAGGTGCCCTCCTGTTCCTTGCTTAGTTGTTCTTGCTTTGTTTTAAAATGTATTCTTATTTTTGTGTTGGTCAGGTTTAAGTGCCTCGAAACATTTAGATGTTAACATGTGGCTCAAGGTCATCTGGGGGTTTCTGGGAAACACACATGGGAGCTGGGCTTGGCTTATGGCTGTGTCCTCAGACTCTAGTATTTCAGAAATGCAGAGGAACACTGTGCCTAGCCTGTCAGGACTGCTCTGCAGGTTTTGTTATATTCTTGCCTCCAGGGAAAAGCTTTAGCACACTTCTTGCGAGTTCACCGCTCTCTGAGTTCTTAGTCTGAAGTGTTTGCCTGGTACCTGACTGTTGGCAGTTCTCCCCCATGAGGCATGGCAGGGATCCTAGAAGCCCCCAGCCATGTGTTGATAAGAAAGCAGATGGAGTGTGGCAGGAATGTTTGGGGAATTCGATATCGTAGTAAGCTGTGGGGACACTTTATTATTTATTGGCAGGTGACAGCTACTCGTTGCCACAAATTGCAAGCCAGCCTTTCCTTCCTTCTACCTTTATATGGGTTCCAGGGATGGAATTCAAGTCATCAGGCTTGCACAGCAATTCATTACCTTTACCCTCAGAGCCATCTCACCAGCCCCTGCATGGCATCTTGGGTACTGTTTGAGAGCTGCACTGGGCAGACCCACACTGACAGAGACTCTAGATTGAAGACTTGCCAAATGAGGGTCTGAGTGAGTCACAGTGATGATGAACCATTTCAGTATTTCCAAACTCATGATGAAAAAGATACATTTTCCTAGCTTTGTAGCTAAAAAAAGTCACATTGTTTTTTTATGTTTTATTTATTTTTTGTGTGTATATGTGTATATTGCCTGCATGTATATAAGTGCATCCTTGTTGTGCAATGCCAGTGGAGGTCAGAAGAGGGTGTCAGATTCCCCTGGAACTGGAGTTATGGGTGGTTGTCAGCTGCCATTTGGGTGCTGGGAATGATCCTGAATCCTCTACAAGAGCAGCCAGTGTTCTTAACTGCTGAGCCATCTCTTCAGCCCCTAATTTTTATTTTTTGAACTTGAGTCATAAGAACAGGGTTAGATGAAGGAGACTGGGGTCTTGACTTTGACTGCATTACTACCACGTATCATTTCTGCGGGTTGTGAATTATTTCCACTGCATTTACACAACAGGAAAGAGACTGTCAGAGAACTTTTGTAAGTTACCCAGGTCGTGCGGGTTGTCATGGTAGTACTTGTACTCATGCTGCCTGTCTGACTCTACAATCCTCACCCCTTCCTGCAGCTCAGGACTTGGGTTAGAGATTGACAGAAATTTGATACAAAAATAGAAAAATACTAGTAGGATGTGACTGTGCATGCCTGCAATCTTGAAAGACTGAGGTAGGAAAAGCGCTGTGAGTTTGGGGCCAGTCAGTTCGCACTACATACTAAGTACTAGGACAGTCAAGGCTACAAGAAAGACTTTCAGAAAACCAAAACAGGGGCAGAAGAGCTGGTTCAGTGGTTAAGAGCATTGGGTGCTCTTGCAAAGGACCTGCATTTGGTTTCCAGCACCCACGTGGCAGCTAACAACCATCTGTAAGCCCAGTTCCAGGGGATATGACACCCTCTTCTGGCCCCCATGAACCACCACACATACATGCGGGGAAAACACTCATACACATAAAACTAAGATAAAAAAGAAATCCAAAAATAGTTAGGTGTGGTAGTATACACCTATAATCCTAGCACTTGGGAGGTAGAGGTAGGAGGACCAGGAGTTCAAGGTCATCCTCCCTACACAGTGACTTCGAAGCTAGCCTGAACTCCATAAGATCCTATTATAAATCACCAACAAAAATATATAAAATATGAAAACAATACATGTTTGGTAGAAAATTCTTTCAATGTGAAAGGAAGATGTCAAAGAGGATTAATGTTAAAAATGTTAGGTGCTGTATTAGTTACTTTTTCATTACTGTGACACAACTCCTGACAAAAACATTTAACAAAGGAAAGGCTTCTTCTGGCTCACGGTTTGAGGGTGCAGCCCATCTTGGTGAGAAAAGCCTAGCAGTAGGGGTGTGAGGTGACTGCTCACATTGCAGAGAGAGGTGAATGCCAGTACTTGGCTTGCTTTCTCTTTTTTCCCATTTTGTTGAGCCTGGGACCCCAGCCCATGAGATGGTGCTGCCCACATTTGGGGTGGGTCTCCTCTCTTCAATTTAACCTCTCTCTGGAAACACCCTCATAGACACCAGATGTGTGTCTCAAAGGCAATTCCAAGTCAACCCAAGTCAACAGTGAAAACTAGCCTGACAGTTACAATCCTGTAGGCCTTTTAGGTGTGATTACATTGCATAGTTCCCTAATAAGCAATTCTAGTAGAAGAGAGGTGAGTCCTGGGAAGGGCCACGGTCTAGACTGAGGAACTGGGAAAGCAAGGAAAGGGATATCCCACTGTATGATCCATGCTGCTGCCTATAATCTGACTCAAGTTCCTCTAGAGTTCACCTCACTCCATGATTCCTGAGCTTACAGTGGCTCTCATTTACTTCTGAACTGTATTAATAGCCTTTGAAGTCTCTAAGCATCTATAGACAAATATCCCTAATGTGTTAGTTCATTTTCTGTGTCTAGAAAGAAGTCCTTCGAGGTGTGGTCCATTTTGATCACAGTTCTGGAGTCTCAAGGGTGTGACTCCAGCTTCTGCTTGATTCTGGTGAAGTCCTAATGGTAGGTTGTATCAGAATGGAAAGAGAGGGGTCCCAGGAGGATTACATTAATTCCCTCTAAGGGTATCCCCCACAATGACCTAAGGACCTCCTACTAAGCCCTGTCCCTTAAAGACCTTACTACCTCATAATATCTCTACATTGGGACCACACTTCCAACACATAAACCTTTGGAAGACACCCTTAGACCGTTTCCAATCACAGCACCTAATGCGTGCACAGGGGAACTGAGAAAGCAAGGAGGGACCTTGTGCTGTGTTGATTTTTCCTAGGGAGACTAACAAACGCTTACCCATCCCAGATAGGACACAAGCTCAAAGACTTAAGAAACAGTTCTACCAAGTCTAGCTTGGTGAGGTAATGAACTTAATTTGGGTTATTTATAAAAGCGTGGGTTAAGGGATACTTACAAGAGCATGGGTTACTTAACTATAGCCACACTATCAAAGAAAAGTTATCCTATCTTACCTTCACCCCCAGTGTCATCTCCAAACAACCATTTAATACTTATGCAAAATCAGGGAGGGATATTGCCCTGTGAGACCCTCTGCCCTCTTCATGACCAAAAGACAATGGGGCCAAACTTATGTTGGTCTTCTGCTCATAATCACAGCTGATGAGACTTCAAGAAGTCAATGGTCAAGTCATACCCAGAGGACAGTGCTCCATAACACCTTGGATCCTTGGCAAGGCTCTAAAATTTTGCCAAGAATAGAAGTCACTTTGGTAATTGTTCTGAAGTTCTTTACAAACTTACTAAGATAAGAGAACATGTGAGGGGCTGGAGAGATGGCTCAGTGGTTAAGAGCACATACTGCTCTTGCAGAGGACCAGAGCTCAGTTCCCAGCATCCACATGGGGCGGCTCACAATCACCTGCAACTCCAGTTCCAGAGGATACAGTGCCCTCTTCTGGCCTCCACAAGTATCTGTAGTCATGTGCACATGCACCCACATAAACACACACAGACACACACAGACACACATACACACGTCTCATCAGCCAGTCATTGTGTTCACTATCTCAGTGCTCCAGTATTTATTAATATCATTGAAATGTAAAAGGAGTTTTAAACTGGCTCACTTGTTCAATATGCAGTTGTAAAGCCCCCTTTATCTGTCTCTGACCTTAAATTCATAGGTCCCCACTTCTGCTGATGGCAAAAATATGAAACTTTGCAGTGAATGCCATGCCATTGAGTCACACCTGTGTTTCAAATCACTGTTTGGAATTTCAAGCCTGTTCGTTATTGCCTTTTGTTTTGTTTCCTGTTCACCCTGTTGGTGAGGGAAGGGTTCTACTCTGGATTATGTGATGGCTGAACAAATGACACTGAACAGTGGGACAGATGAAATCAGCAGCAGTTTGAGAGGACACCCTGCAGGTCATGTGGGATCATTTGTGAATAGAGTGAACAAACAGGACAGAGGGAGACCGGTTTTACAGTATGAAGGAGATGTGGTGTTCCCTGGTTGCCAAGGAGGATGAGGTGGATTTGTTTGTGTAGCTCCAGGGCCTGGAGGAAACAGAAACTGTTCTGGGGAAATGGGAAGAGCACCTATTCACTTTGAAAGGAAGGTTGTTGAACATGGTGAACCTTACCCTGGGGAGGAGAGGAGAAGCTCTAGTTAGGCTTATTCAAAGCTCTTCCATCTGTCAAGGAAGTACAGATTATCGGACCTTGACTTTAGGTTTCCTACTATGGTATACCCTCTCCTTGCTGATCCTCCCAGAGATGGCCCAAGTTCTAAGGGGTGCAAGTGAATCGAACTGGCAGTTGAGAGGAACAGCCACTTCACTCTTCACTGTTGTGAGCAGGTCCACCCACCCTCTTATGGTTGGCTTCCTGTTCTGCACGCCTCCCGGGCACTCCCCTATGGGCTCCTGCACTCCCAAGCCTTCCCCCCACCTGCTAGGGTCTGCTAGCCTCCTCCTCACTTCCACCAGCTGGCGTGTTCTTCACCCTTTCCCGTTTGGTGTCTGGTTTGTGAGACTTGGTCCTCACAGAAGACCCAGGTGCTCTGTTCTCTGGAATACCCTCCCCTGATTTATTCGTTGTCTGCACTTTTCTTAGACATCCTTTAGGCTCTAAAGGAGTCTAGCTAAGTTCTAGAAACAATTCTTCCTTGTTAATCTTATTTCCCTTGGGGCAAAAAAAAAAAAAAATCACTCTGATTTATCCTGTGTGCCTTTCCACTCTTGCTTTGGTATAAATGTCATGCTCTCATCTTCAGGGTTTATGGTTCTTGGTGTGTAAAGACAAGGTTTGTTTAAAACAAAACAAACCAAGACTAAAGACTGTTTTCTTTCTAACCCCTGGCTCTTACATAACTTAAATTTGGCTCTATATATCATGGACTGTTATTTCAGCTATTGACCTTAAAATAGTTCAACAGAAACTGTGCATGGTGGTGCATGCCTTTAATCCCAGCACTCAGGAGGCAGAGACAGATGGATCTCTGTGAGATGGAGGCCAGCCTGGTCTACATAGCAAGTTCCAGGCCAGCTGGGGCAACAAGGAGACACTGTCTCAAAAATAAAACAAAACCAGACAAACAAAAGGCAAAACACAAATCTCAAACAAAACAAAACAAACAAACAAAATAGTTCAACAGTAGATGTCTTGTTCCATAAGCATACTACCCAATTTGGTAGCCACAGCTCTTTAATTAAAGTTAGTACTAATTGAAATTAAGTAAAATTTTAAATTTAATCCCTCAGTCACAGTAGCTGCATTTTAAGTGTCCAACACAAACATGCAGCCAGTGCCTACTGAATGGACAGTATAGATATAGAATTTTCCACCATTCTAGAAAGTTCTCTCAGAACACTACTGATAGTATCAACTTCCCTATTAATAGTATCAATTTTTCCTGGAGGGCTATGAACTGTGAGAAGGAAGGACAGTGTGGGTGGTATGGATGAGGAATCTGTTACTCTCTCAAAATGTTATCTTGCTACAATAGTTTTGAAGAAAGTTTTGCACTTTAGAAGCATAAGCAACCATTTTAAACAAAAACCCACTCCATATTTTGGCAGAACATTTTTGGCAGCCGGAAATGTTCCCGCCTACCAGTCTGTCACAGATGGTGCATACCATGGTTTGCCACCACTGAGCAGTTCTCTCAGGAAGAGCATTTTTGCTTCGCAGCTCAGCCTGCCCCCGCCGCTGGATCCACAGAGCCTCCAGGTGAGTCTCAGAAGTGTTTTGTATCTATGAAAGGTGTGCGGGGTATAGGGGGGATGGTGTCACTTTGCTTCCATTTGCTTTCCATTTTGCAGGATCTTCAAACTTCCATGGCCTTCTGTCTTCACTGGCCTCCTTCAGTCACACAGGGAGCCACCTGGGCCTGCTGGCCTGCTGTTGTTCCCAGTCAGGATTTTTTCTGCACATGTTCTCAACAGAATGATAACACAGCAGCCTGTCTGCTCACAGCTGGCAGAGAAAAACAAAACCCCAAAGCCTTGATCTTTTCCATTTCACAAATAATAATAGCAATTAGAATGCATAAACTAGGTCAGCTGCTGAGTTTTGAATTGCCCTGGTTACATGTGTTATCAAATATAACCCTGGCAACTGCTATTGCTCCCAGGCAGGCACAGCTCTACAAGGTTATCCAGCTCTACAAGGTTCAGGAAAGCCAGGGATCAGAACACTGAGAATCGGAGCAGCATTGGATCCCAGAACTATGTTGCTTGTCTATTACCACAAACACATGCCCCCCCCCCAGCAGCTAACAAGTTGAAACAATAGACATTCATTATCACTTCCAGTTTCTGTTGGTGAGGAAGGTGGGAGCAATGTAGGTGGCAAGTACTGGCTCAGGGTTTCCCACAAGGGAGGGCTGCAGACAAGATGCTGGCCAGAGCCAAAATCATCTCACGGTGGGACTGCAGAATAATTTTCTTCCAGCTACAGCTGTTCGTAGATGTCAGGAGAGCCATGTCCCAAAGTCCTATGGTCTTTGCTATTGAGCTTTATAGAAGCTGTATAGAAGATGGCTTTCTCCAGAGCAAGCAGCCCAAGAGAATCCAAGGTGAAAGCCATGGTCTGGATGACCTGATTTCTGAACCGAAGTCCATCACTTCCACCACATTCCATTCACTAGCAGTGGGCCACTAAGCCCAGCCATGTTCAGAGGGAGGAAGAGCAAATTCATTCTCTCTCTCTCTCTCCTTTTAAAAAGGCCGCTTTTCGGTTACATTTATTTGATGTATGTATGTGTATGTGTGCACAAGTATGTGCCATATCGCTCACATAAAGGTCAGAGAACAACTTGTAGGAGTCAGCTCTCAGCACCATGTGAGTCCGGGGTACTCAAACTCAGGTAGTCAGGCTTGGCAGCAAGCTCCTTTACCCCCTGAGCCATCTTGTCAGCTCTCTCTCCCCCAACCCCTCTCATTTTTTGAGAGGGGGTCTTGAACTATTATGTAGCCAAGTATGACTTTGATCTGCAGATTCTCCTGTCTCTATCTCCCAAGTTTTGGGACCTTAAAATTACCTTGCAAGTGCAGGATTTTTTAAAAATTCTTCTAAGATTTATGTATTTTATGCATATGAATGTTGGCCTGCATGTATGTGTACCAAGTACATTCTGGTGCCTGTAGAGGTCAAAAGAGGGTGTCGAAGGTGTCCTGTTCTCTGCAACCCAAACTACCACAGTCTCTAAGAAGTGACTGAGAACTAGATCAGAAGAATAGGGTAGATAGGCAGGCCTCTGGGTCCAGGGCTGTATGTGGTGATATAAGAGATAAGGCATGCCTTAGCTTTTGCTCTATAGTTCAGAGAAGACAGAGCTCACCTGTACCAGTTATAGTACTGGGTCTTGAGTTGATATCTAAATTGGAGCACGATGGTAAGCAAGGACATTTCAATATTGGTAGCATTTAAGTAAGTTTAGTTTTGTTTATTAAAATATGTCACCTTGGTATTGTACTGTTCTGGAACTTTGTTTTGTTTGAAACAGAGTCTTACTATATAGTTGAAGCTGTCCTCAAACTTACAGTCCTCCTGCTTCTGGAACTTTGAACACTAGAACTGTCTAGTTATACTAAAATCATCTCAGCAAAAATGAGAAAAAGAAATAATTATTACTACTCTTTCCTCTGTATCATTGGGGTTGCTCCACTGAGAAATATTTCTGTATAATAAATGAATCACCTGAGAGGGCTTGCGGCAATCCTGTTTGTGTATAGATGGCTTCATCAGAGGGACAGAGGACACCATTATCATGTCTACTATTTGTTTCTTTTAGGCATTTGTGCTGTTCCCTTGGAGAACATTTCTGGAAGATGGTGGACCATTTCCATTTATGAATAGCACCCCAAACACCCTAGAGCATGATATGCAGGTAGGTTTGTCTTCCCACTTGCTGGGAAGCAAACTTAATACAGGTTACAAAGCAGAGTTATCACTAGGCCGCCCCTCTAGCCAGTGCTAATGTATAAGATAAATAGGTGTTTAATTATGAAGCTGCAAACCTGAGGCTGCAAGGCGAGTCACCTTTTCTTATTGTAGAAGGAAAGCATGCTCCCTCAGCAGCTGTCGGCCTTGGTTGAGACTCAGCTGAAGTTTCCATGGCAGTAATGACCTAGAGTCTGGGCCTCAGAGAGAGCCGACTGCCAGCTGGCACTTGGAGGTATGGGACTTCCGACTTGGTGGGATGAAATCTGTTTAAGCAGGACTGAGGGGGAAATTTTATTTTAATTGTTTTGTTTATCATCATTAACCTCTTTTAGATTATTTTTAATTATATATTTTCTTCTGATTAAGAAAACATTTATATGTTTTTATTTAAAAAAAAATAAAGTGCCAGGTATAGTGGTGCACGCCTTTAACTCCAGGACTCAGGAGGCAGAAGCAGGTGGATCTGTGAGTTCAAGGCTAGCCTTGTCTACATAGTGAGTTCCAGGCCAGCTGGGGCTACAGGGGGACCCTGTCTCAAAAAAACCAATGTGTGTGTGTGTGTGTGTGTGTGTGTGTGTGTGTGTATAGAATGACACAAAAGATCATGTACAACTTTGCTTCAAAACATGGAGTGGGGAGTTGATAGATGGCACAGGATTGACTATAAATTGATAATTATAATGGGAAGTATTTTGTTTGCTTTTGTATGCGTTCAAAATCATCCCTAAATAAAATGATTTTTTTTTTGCAGTAAAATCAAGAAGAGTTAAAACAAAAACATTATTGTTGCAAAGCTCAGAGACAATCACAGTTTACCTTTTGAGTTTTCCTCCAGCTTTCCCCCAGGCATGCCTATGCTTGTATCATTACCTTTAAAGGAAAATTGATATCACACCATTCATTCATCACATATGCTGTATGGCTAGGAAATTTGCTACTTCTGTACAGAGTCAAAAATCCAATAGTCAAGAAGGACTTTAAGCTAGACTGTACTCTGGTTTTTATGGATTGTTTTAATAAAGAGGGCTGAGGGGTATAAATGTAGTTACTCTGAAATTTTTTCTTCCAAACCATTATGCAAAGGATACATAGAACTCTTCAGAGTAAGAAGGTATTTGTTTGTTTTTAGATGTGCCTCTGTGGACTGAGTAACCGTGACCGCAAGGTGGCCCATGGAGAGCTGGTGGGTGTGCAGATGTTATTGGAAGATGTGCTTCTGAGCAGCTATTCTCTGATCATGGAGGGTTCTCCTGAGCCACAAACCACGATGGACCAAAATACACAGGTATTCTTGGTGAACTGTCTACAGTGCTGTGCCTATTTGGGAGACAGACTTAGGCCACATCTTTCCCATAGCCACTCCTATTGTGTTCCATGACCCTGCTAATGCCACATGAAGTGACAGTGAAACTGGGGAAAGCTGTCTTAAGGCATTTCTTTTCACAGTGAGTCTCATGATTAGTCACATTTCCATTTCTTTTATTTGTTTAAATTTTAAAATTTTTATTTATTTTTATTTTATGTGTATAAGTGTTTTTCCTACATGTATGTTAAGTATGTATACAGAGCTGGTGGAGGCCAGAAGAGGATGTAGGATCAGTGGTTAAGAAGGCTTGGTGTTCTTCTAAGAGACCTGAGTTCAGTTCCCAGTACCCATGCCCAGTGACTCACAACTGCCTATAATTCCAGCTCCAGGGGATCCAATATGCTTTCATGAGCACCTGAACTTACATGCACAGACACAGACAGGGGCATGCCAGAAGCCCCAGATGAGCATGTTAGGCCTGAGTTCGCATCCTGATGCCTCTACTAGCCTGTGGGTGCTAGACTGGCAGTTCATCCCCAGGCTTTTCCTCCTGAAGCACTAGGTAAAGAGCCACTTCCCATCTAGTAAAGTAACTCTCAACAGTTCTGCACATATCTAGGAACCAGGCAGAGGCATGCTGGAGTCAGGGAAGCTAGCCGGAGCGCCTAACTGAAACCTCTTATCAGAGCCCAGCTTTCGAGAGGCCTACACCCACAGTCTGTTTCCATGCTTCCCCAACCTCTCCTGCGACAATGTACTCTGTCTTCTCCTTCTCACCACAGAAACTGTTCCCATCAAGAGCACTAAAGTCTTGGTCACTAAATCCCCTAAATGCTTAACAGTCTCCCATCTGACCTCTTTTTAAAAAATTTTATTCAAATATTTAAATTTACATAATGAGAACTAATAAAAGATGAAAAATATCAAGATATCAAAATAAAAATGAAACCCAATTGAAATAGTTAAATGTGTAGAAATGTGCAAAAACAAAATACCATAACTTATCCAGTAGTGTTACTAATCAGAAGAGGAAATTCATTTGGAAGCAAATTCAAACAGAAATTCTGAAAGAACATAATTTAGAATATCTCATAATGGTCAGATGCTAATCCAATCAGCCATGACTTTGGGGGGTTTTAAATAAAACTTAGATAGCAATTGCTGAGATTTAATTATAGGGCAATTTTCTGCTGAAAGCAATTTTCCCCCCTGCTGGGCCCCTTTCTATTTTCTAGCATCTGTCCTCCTTCACGCCCGTGTCGATATGCATATATAAAAAGCTAGACGCTAAACTCCACATTTGAGAGAGAACATTATTAGTATTTGTCTTTTGAGCCTGGGTTACCTTGCTCAATATAATGTTTTCCAATTCCATTTATTTTCTTGCACATTGAGTAATTATATTTTTTCTTTATGGCTGAATAAAACTTGGCTCTATGCATGTACCACAATTTCTGTTCATCAGTTGATGGGCATCTAGTCTGACTCCATTTCCTTGTTGTTGTTAATGGAGCAGTAATAAGCATAATGGTAGCATGTAGGGAAGAGCAAACACCCAGGGTACTACAGCTAGATCATATGGTAGTTCTAGCTTTTAACTTTTGGAGAAACCTCCACACTGATTTCCACAGTGGCTGCTCCAGTTTACACTTCCACCAAAGGTGGGTGAGTGTTCCTCTTTCCCCACACTCTCTCCAGCTTTTGTTGCCATTCAATTTTTTACCTTTATTATTAATTACTTAATTTGTTTATTTATGTATTTATTGTGTGTGTTATATGTATGTGTGGAGTGCAGGGGCTTGTGAAGGCCTGTGTATAGCTCCATCACTCTCTCTCTGCCTTGTTTCTTTGAAACAGTCTCTCACTGAATCTGGAGGTAGGCTTGTGACCAGCAAGCCCCACTAATCCTCCTGCCTCTGCCCCCTGACACAGCAGGAAGTGCTGTGCTCTTACTTGCTGGACCATCTTTCTAGTCCCTCCTTGGCAACATTTAACAGTCTTTCAGGAAGCCTCTGTGCCCTGGGATTCATAGCATGGCCCCTCTTCTAGCTTCCTCTAGCACTGCTGAAAACCCCTTTGCAGACTTCTCAATGAAGTCCTTTATCTGCCATTCCCCCAGATGATGCTGTTTTTCAGATTCTCTCCCACTACTGCTGCTACTGGGGCCACATTTTGTTCCATGTTCTCTACACTTTGTCTTTGTGGGTCCCCTTCTCCATAAAGAACAGTCAGCATTACTTTGTATGTTCCAGTGAGCTAGCTCAGTCAGTAAAGTGCTAGCCATGTAAGCGCGAGGACCTGACTTTGGATCCCTGGCACCCACATAAAAAAGGGGGACACAGCAGCATACATCTGTAATCCCAACACTGAAAAGGCAGAGACAGGAGGATTCTAGGGCTTGCTGACCAGCCAGTCTAGACAAATCAGTGGGCTCCAGGTTCAGTGAGAAAATCTGTCTTAAAAGATAAGTTGGAGGGCCAGGGAGATGGCTCAGTGGCTAAAAAGGCTTGCTGTGAAAACCCGATGACCTGAGTTTGATCCCCAGAAACCATGTAAAGGCAGTTTCTAGTTGCCCTATGTGGGTGCTGGGAACTGAACTCTGGTCCTCTGCAAGAGTAGCAAGTACTCTTAACTGCTGAACCATCTCTCCAGTCCCAGGGTAATTTTTTTCTTGTTATTGTTTGGTTTGGCTATTTATTTATTTTATGTGTAAGAATGTTTTGCCTGCATGTATGTAAGTGTACCATATGTGTACCATATGTGCTCACAGAGGCCAGAAAAGGATGTTGGATCTGCCCCCCTCCCCACCACTCCCCCACGAACTGAAATTAAGGACTGTTGTTAGTTGCCATGTGGGTGCTGGGAATCGAACCTGGGTCCTCTGCAAGAACAGCCAGTGCTCTTAACCACTGAACCATCCCTCTGGCCCCTGTTTGTTTGTTTCCACTGAGACATCCCTCCATTTATTTATTTATTTATTTATTTATTTATTTTTTGAGACAGTGTCTCCCTATAACCCCAGCTGGTGTAGAGTTTGCTATGTAGACCAGGCTGGCCTCAATCTCACAGAGATCTGCCTGCATCTACCTCCTGAGTCCTAAGATTAAAGGTATGCATCAGCATGCACACACCCTGGCCCGCCGGAATATTTTTAAAGTGAACTGGATTGTATCACTTCCTTCCTTATAGCCCCCAATGGCCTTCAAACACCCCCAAGAATGGAGTCTGAATGCCCTAACTAGATCTCGTTTTGGCTCCTCCCTCCCAGTGTTCTAGCCACAGCTTTTCTCCTTTTGGTACTGGCTCCATGCTCTCTTCTGTGCTCCCCTGAAGACTGGTCCTTCCAGTAGAAAATGTGTCCTCATCAACTCCTACTTGTTCTTTAGATTTCCCCTTCTAAACTAATTTCCTTAGGAAACTTTTTCTGATCCTTCACCTTCAAGCTGAGACCCCTCTGTGCCTTCAGGGTGCTCATGCCTCTGTACTGGGTTATTCCACTGGCCTCGACTAATCACAGACACACACACACACACACACACAGACACACAGACACAGACAGACACACACACACACACACACACAATAAATAAATAAATAAATAATAATGCAATACAATAATAATATTACAAAACTCTGGTCTTCTATAGCAGGCAGCCTAGAAGTCAGTTCGAGTCAGTCTTTAGGTGAGTTAGTGCAGACCCTTAACAGGTATCTCAGAGACTCATACTCTGCCATTTGTCTATGCCAGCAAAATGTCTCCCTTGCCTTTGAAAAGAAGAGAAGAAAATAGAATAAACAACAACGACAAAAATTTCTCTATGAAACTCTATCTTTTTATGAAGAAAGAAGATCTAGAAGTCTAGAAGTTTCCTAATTTCCCCTTGAGTCTTCTTGATTAAAACTGAGTCACAAGTCCATTTCAGGCCAATGGAGAGGGAGTTTAGACATGTCATGTAAATTCCCCCAACAGAATCACATGCTTCACCCAGATGGATCATTTACAAAGATAGGTGTAGACCAAGTGGTGCCATGATCAGGAAACATCCTGGGCCCCTCCAACCTTCTGTTACTATCTTTTTTGGTCTTATTTTATGAATTACCCTACTTACTTGATTTCCTGTACCCTCCTGTTCCTTCCCCCATCCTTTAAAACATTTAGAGAGGACTTCTTTTTTTAAAAAGATTTATTTTATATCATACACAAGTGTTTTGCCTGCATGTATGAATGTGCACCATGTGCATGCCTGGTGCCCATGGAGGCCAGAAAAGATGTCAGATCCCCTGGAACTGGAGTTATGGAAGAGTTGTGAGCTGCCATGTGGGTGCTGGGAACCGAACCCAGGTCCTCTGAAAGAATAGCAAGTGATCTTAACTGCTGAACTATCTCTCCAACCCTCAGATAACTTTTCTTACCATGAACATATTAATAAATAAGTCTGATTCACTATTTTTACCTTGTTTTTGTTTTATTTTATGGTGTGTGTGTGTGTGTCTATATGCTGAATTCGAACCCATGATTTTGAGCATGCTGCACAAGACTTTACAACTAAGCGACATCTACAACCCTTCAATATGTTTTTATTTAGAAGTATTCATAGGAAACAGGAAATACTAAAATGTGCGCTGCCCTGTGAGTCAAGGTTCCTAAGTAGCTATCCCAGCTATGCCACATGTGCTATGATTTCTCAGGGTCACAGTTGCTAAAACTTTAAAGTGAGGTGATAGATTCGCTCTGGGCATTTAAAATTGTGGTCCAAGGCACCCTATGGTTCTCTGAGACACTTTTGGGCTTCCTGTGCAAAGGGGACCAATTACATGGTCTATAGGCTGCCCACTCCTTGTCACTGTTCTTGGCCTTGTCTGTGAGATTTCATATGATGAAAGAGTTCTGAAGATAAAATAAAATCTGAAAAGCCACAGACTGATTGCTGAGAAGGCTTCAAGGCTGCAAGGCTAAGGGGCTGCCAACTGTCTGTGGAAGCTTACTCTCCCTGGATCTGGATGCCAGTTCCCTGGATGCTCTGACCAACCCTCTTTCTGGCTGACACACCTCCCTCTAGCTGTGTGAATACTGATCTGGGGTCCAGTTACACCAAGCCATTCTTCCTGTTTCTAGTCAGGAAACCTGAGTGTCTAAGGTTCTTCTATCCCAGTACTCTCAGTTTCAAATCATGGGATTTGTCATCTGATCTGAAAAAGAAAATTCCTTCCTTATGCCTGAGACACTACCCAGGGAGTGGCTGGATTGAGGTCCCCAATGTGTCTGTCATCCCTCAATCTCATATCACTGTCTGCTTGAGAGCAGAGGCCTATTCACATCCTCCAGGACAAATATGTGTTGCAAGAAGCATCATAATTTTAAAGCAAAATTGAAGGCTGAAGCAGGAGGATTGCCATGAGTTGGAGGGCAGTCTGGAGTACACAATGAGTGCCAGGCCTGGCACTCTGTCTTAGTTAATTAACATAAATTTGATTATTGAATAGTAAATTCAAACAGAAAGTTCTGTTTTACTTTTAAAAGACAAGGGAAGGAACACAAAGTAAGATAAACTTAAGCTCTGCTTCCTGGCTCATAAAATAGGTAAAACTTTCAAAGAAAAGTTCTGTTACAGCCCCAGTCTGGAGGATGGGGAAGACTTCAATCTCAAATATATTAAGTATTTTTCTAAAATGCAGATGCTAAACAAGGAAGAGTCTGGCTTTTTTCCTTTTCTTTCTTTTTCTCTTTTTTTCTCTCCAAAGACTCTAGTTTCTAATGGGGGGAGGGAGGCTGTGGGTAGGTGCTACCTGGGAAGTCGGTGTGAAAATAAATTAATTTAAAAAATTTTTAAAAATTCTTCAAAACATAAAAATTTGCTCCTTAATAATTGGTAGATGTGAAAAACATTACCATTGAAATCTACCTGATGACTTTATATCCATGCTCAGATGCCAAGGAGCTCAGAAAGTAACCAACTGACTGTGACTAGTAATAATCAGATATATAGAGATTAGAAATGCATGTGCATCTTACAGTGTCAATTGTATTGAAAACAAATTTTTCTGTATGAAACTGTGTATTTTAATAGTAAAATGGAGATCTTCTTTAAAGTTTAAAACCTCATTTAATTTTATGTCTTACAGAGTTTATACTGAGTACAATATTATATAACTGTGTTAATTCAACTGTAAACCTAAAAATTTACAGCCAATTTTGAAGGAGATGCATCTTAGCTCTGGAAATTGTTATTGAATATGTCAATGCTGTTGTAACGAAAAGCTTCTTCTGATTGTGTGGTTATTAAATAAATATTTTTTAAAAAGACTCTAGTTTTTAAAGGTAGATAAAATGTTAATATGCAAAAAAAGGTAGTTGTAAAAATGAGTGGTTCAAAGCCAGGTCCACTATCACGTACCTGTAATCCCAGCACCTCAGAGATGGAGGCAGGAAGATCAGGAGCTCAAGGTCATCCTCAGCTACTTAATAAATTTGAAGCCAGCTGTATAAGACCTGTCTCCAAAAGCTATAAAATATAAAAATGACTAGTTCAAGATGCAATCAGAAAGCTGAGGCTCAGACCCTTCTAGCCTTTCTGACTACTGTCTGTTCAGCAAGGTGGCTCGACATCTCTGTTTTTTTCTACATATGCTACAGTAGGCCTGTAAACCATTGACCCTGAGGAGAAACTGTATTCTCCAAGGACTTTGTTTTGCATGGGATACATGCAAAAGCATAATCCACCTTGGTCCACTATTGATAAAGGATTTCTGTCATGTGTTTCAGCTAGATTGGTCCAAACTAACAGCACTCAGAAGTCAGCTGGAAGGCCACCCAAAAACTGCTGCAGTGCTGGAGGGGCCTAGTGATGCAGTGATGTCTCTTGCTTTGCTGAGATCCTTCCTCATCCTGTGGAAACAGCTGGAAGTGCTGAAGGAGCACTGGGGCCGACTCAAGCTTCAAGGCCAGGATGTCAATTCTGGCCCCCTCTACAAACAGTTCTCAGAGCTCTATAAGTGAGTGTTGCAGGAAATTCATGTCAGTGGGCAGGTCTGGGGGTTCACACATTCTGCCCCCTTCATCGAGAGTGAGATTTAGTCCATGAATCTAGGGATCCCCAGCTTCACTGAGTCAGATAGCAACTAGAAACACTCTCTACAACAGTGCTCTAAGGGAAAGCTGAGCTGTATTTACTGACTCCACTGAGTTGCTCTGTATATTACTGTCTGTAGAGGCTGTCCCTCAGAACTTGTGCTTATCAGGTGACCCCACAGTGCTGAACTTTGTAGCTCATAGGATCCCAGCCTTGGGTACACAGTTACTGATAGAGACACCTGAGGGATGGCATTACTCCAGTGCTGAGTCGAATGCCTGAGGTACTACAGCTAGAGGATAACATGGCACATGTGGCCTAAGGTTTTAGGGCCACAAAGAGGTGCAGACCTTGGCTATAGACCTTGGCTGGGATGACTTAACTGGCAGAAAAGGCATGCTGCTTCTGCCGCTCTCTGTTATCAAGTAAGCACTTACTTCACCCCCCAGCTCCCCCCACCCACCCACCTTGGACCTCACCACGACCTTCAGAAGGTTCACGTTGGTGCTGTCAGAATTGTCTATTGCAGCTTCTGTGGTCAGGTACCCTGATAACTAGGGACTAAGACTTGTCCATATTTTGAAGAATGAAGACTGAAATTATAAGTACCCAATAGAAGAAGGCCTCAGGATTTAATATTGACCAAGGGAGTGGTGAATTTAGATGTTGATGTGTGTGTAAATGGGTTGGGTGACAGGAAACAGAAAATGAATGAAAAAATTGTCAGAGAATCAGAATGAGAAGAAAATATGTTTATATGCTAATTTCTGTGTCTTTTCTTTGACAGAGTTGACATTTTCTACCCCAGCATGAAAGCTTTAGCCAGGCAAATAGGCAAAGAAGATGAGTTTGAAGGACTTATTTTAAGTAGTCAGTCTATTCTTCCCCCAAAAGGAGCTTCAGAAATTGAAATAAAAACTCAACAGGTATGCAAGAGCTCTCTTCAGTTTCCTTGGAAAATTCACTTTGTGGCATCAGCATGGAAAACTACAGATAAGTACAAATGGTGCTTTCTCTCAATTCAGTAGAAATCGAAGGGTCCTAAATCATTGAACAGGCTACAGTGGATGGGAGAAGGGAAACTTTAAAGGTTTGATTTGTTCTATCACAAGAAACATGCAAGTCACACAACTAACACTACCTTAAATATAAAACCCAGCAGAGATGGGAGAAGAAATGTTGATGATAGCTTCTTCTAATTGTTTTTCTCAGTCTAAGAAAGTACAATTTTTGCACTAGTTCACTTGGTGTGTTAGATGACCTATGTGGAGAAGCTGTCCCTCCCAGGTCCAGGGATTTGAGGTCCCCCAGATGAACAAACAAATCCTCTGGCTGTCCATGCAGGCAGGACACTGAGCAATAAGGAACACCAGCGTCAGCCTCATTCATGCCCCAGGGCCAAGCACATTCCTTGCTGTTATGAATCCTGGTTCTTCTCCAGCACCTATGTTCCTCCAACAAGTGTAGGCTCTGCAAGCATCATGGGTAGAGTGAGACTTGTGGCTATGGAGTACAGTTTTCTCTTATTGTGTATTGAGCTTTAAATCTTATCATGAGGGGCTGGAGAGATGGCTCAGCGGTTAAGAACACTGACTGTTCTTGGCAGAAGACCCGGGTTCACATCCCAGCACCCACATGGCATCTAACAACTGTCTGTAACTCCAGTTCCAGGGGATCCGACAGCCTCTTCTGTCCTCTGCGGGCATCGCACGGCATGACACGGGTGCACTTACTTACATGCAGGCATAACACTCATACACATAAAATAAAAATAATAAAGTATTTTTTAAAAAATTAATTTTATCATGAAATCTTCCTTGGTATCTAAATTGAGTTTCAGTCTCATATTAAAGAAATAGCTTTTGAAATACTTGACTTCATTTAGAGACCCCCAAACATATAGTCACCTCAGACATGGAGCACATTGCAATTTATCAAACATGGTAAGAAGGATTATAGTTTACCAATCAGGATGTGGACCATGAAGAAAAGATGTTGATCTCAAAAAGCTTATCTGCTGTGGGAAGACCCTGACGTCCCAGGAAAAAGCACTCTTTATCTTCCAAAGAAAGTAGCTGAACCTGAGCCCAAAGCCCTTCTGTAGGAATTGGATTTGGCAGTCCAGTATACAGCTAAACTAAGACTGACTCTCAACTTATGCTTATTCCAGCTTCAGAAACTTCTGGAAAGTTTAGAAATTCATATGCTCCAAGAGGTATTAAGAACAGTTAACAGCGAGATGACACTGATTTTGTCAGAGAAAGCCAAGAAGGAGTGTACCCTCCCAACAGGTAAAGCATGTTGGTTTTACTACTTCAAAAAAGGGTTACTGGCTTTTTTCTAATTACAAAGTATCAGTGGTGGTGGGTCAGACACTGCCCAATGCTACCACCTGAAGCCTCAGGAATTCCCTTATCTATTAGGGACCTCTAGTCAGAGTAAGCCAGATTCTTGGCTTCACTGCAGAAAAGAATTTCGAGATGAGCCAGTATGCAGCTGAGTTGAGTTTATCAAACAACATTTTTAACAAATTTAAAACCAGGCTTAATAGAAACAGAGGCACCTGGGAAGAGAGGAAGGCACACCTGAGAGCAAGCGTGGGCGTACACTTCAAAGAGAAAGCCACAGTTAAGTGTCTTTACAGTTGCCTCATATATATACTGTTTGTGATGGCTTCTGAAATTCTTTTATTTTTTTGACAGGGTCTCCCAGGCCAGCTGGGGCTACAGGGAGGCCCTGACTCAAAAGACCAAAACAAACAAAAAACCAAACCAAAAACAAAACAAAAAATCTTCGAGCCAGGTGTGGTGGCACATGCTTTTAATCAAGGCATTCAGGAGGCAGAGGCAGGTGGCTCTCTATGAGTTTAAGGCCAGCCTAGTCTACATAGTGAGTTCCAGGTCAGCTGGAGCTACAGGGAGACCCTGTCTCAAAAAGACCAACATATATCTTCAAACTGGGTATGATGGAGCATGCCTTTAATCAAGGCACTTGGGAAGCAGAGGCAGGCAGGATCTCTATGGGATATAATTCAGTGGTAGAGTACATGCTTAGTATGCACAGGGCCCTGGGTTCAATCCCCAGAACTACAAAAGCAAATAGAAAAGTTCCTTTTTACACCTTGGTTAAGACCTAGAGAGAATTATTACTAACACCTGATCTGTTTCTTTCCACTTAAAAAGCTTTGTTTGTGGTTTTGTTTTGAGGCAAAGTCTTACTCTGAGGCTAGGCTGGTCTCAAGCTCACCAGTCTCTCCTGAGTGCTGGGAGATAGTGGCTCAACTTCTGCCTCCTGCCCAGGACATGGTGCCTGGCTCAGGTAGTAGCTGGGACCCATGCTGTCATGCATTGACTCATGGATGACACCATCCATGCAGATGAGGGTCTCTCCTGCCTTATAGTGCTCCCATACCCAAGAGAATATAAGATTACAGCAAGAAAACTCATGGCAGGGTAAGAGAGAGAGACTGTGGCAAAGAGAAAAAAGCTTTATATTTTGGAACTCACAAAGATACATTTTTCTCTTTTTTGAGCAAGAGGCCCTGCATTTTTATTGCACCAGCTTTGTGAATCATGGAGAGCATCAAATATGCACGCCTATAATAATCCTACAGGAAAATCCAGAATCTTTGAGCTAGGGAGGGGCTGTCTGACTCACAAAACAAATTAGGTTTTCCTCTGAGACAAAGTCCATGCACCCGGAGTGATAATTATAACCGCCATTCGCACCTAAGATACCGCCTTCTTTTTCTCACTACTAGTGTTATTTTATCAGGGTTTCCAGTCACTGTGTTCTATAAACAGGGCTTTGGGAAAAGACTGTGCAATGAGAGAGCTGACCACTCCCCTGCTGGGCGTCTCCAAATGTCACCAGAGACTAGAGCGTGACTGAGCTCCTGTTACGGAACACATCGCAAGACACAAAGCTCCCGTTGTTTGCACTGTGGGCTGCATCCAGGTGGCTCCCTTCTGAATTTTAGCAGAAAATCCACAAACCCCGGGCAGGTGCAACCACCTGCAAGGGTTTGGACTGTGGTTTTTCCGATGCCCTAAGGGTGGGGAGAGCATGTTTGCTTTGTGACAGCGCAGCCCTAGGCAGGGAGGTGGGCATGCATCAGCTTTGCTTCCAGAAAGCCTTGGGTAAGGGGCCAGTTGGAGTCAGGAAACCGGGAGGAGTGAAGTTATTTTGAAGTGGTCAAGTTAACATAGGTAAACCTCACCTTGGCTACAGTGTGCTGACCTGTTCTAGCTAGATCCTTGTTTGGATTCTATCCTTGCAAAACTTTTGAAAGAAGTGCTGCTGGGACTATAACACACAGTACTTGCTTAGCATGTGCAATACCCTGAATCCCTTCCTCAGCACCACACAAGAATAAAATAAAATAAATGCCAATGTTGAGGGGGTGGGACTGTTGTTATGACTTTGGTTTTATTTTGGTTTGGGCCTTTGGTCTACATGTAGGGCCTGAATCATGTAGAGGTCTGGGTCGGCTGAGTTCTTTCATGCAAGCAAGTAGGTCCCCATTATGTACTAAGGGTGCATTGGGTGTGTTTCTTCAATTTAGTTAGTGGGACAGATACCACTGAAGAAGGCATTAGAACCTTGGCATCTCCACCCACTTATTCATTGCAGCAGCAGGAAGAAGGTAGTGGGCAAAGCTTCCAAGCCAAGGTGGGTTCTTCTGCAGAGATCAGCCTTTGAGGCCAAGGTTAGCCTAGGCCTGGTAGCATCTCAGAAGGAGTAAGGATTGGTGAGTATAGGGGGCATGGGGGCATAGCAGAGGCTTCAGACCTTTCCTTCAGAGTCTTTGCTTTCCCTGTTGGTCACACTGGACTCTACCTTTGTGCCTGCCAGTAGGGGAACCCTGGACTAGGGAGATGGCTAATCAGTAAAGTGCTTACCATGTGAGCATGAGGACTTAAGTTTGGACCCCTAGCACCCATGTAAAAAGCCAGGCATGGCAGTAATCCCAGCACTGGGGAGGTGGCTACAGGGGGATCTCTGGAACTCACTGTCCAGGCAGCCTAGCCAAATTGGTGAGATCCAGGTTCAATAAGAGACCCTGTCATGAAGAAGGTGGAGAATGACTGAGTAAGACATCCAATGGCAGCCTCTGGCAGCCACACACATGTGCACATGCACCCACATGCACACCTACAAACACACAAGGGAGCTCTGGAATACTTTTCTCCTCTCCCTCTTTCCTCTTTCTTCACTGTTTCTTTGGAGCTTAATCTTCTTATCCATGGTCTCCTGTTTATCAGGGAGGCTGTGAAGACATGGTATCCATACCTGGTTCTCTGATAGTTTTTTGCCTGAACTACTGTTTCCCTGAGAGCTAGTCACAGTGATTCCAGACATCCTGGTTCGGCCTCAGGCCTTCCTGTACCAACAAAGGCTTTCTGGATTCAAAAATCCTGGACACCCCCATCTTTGACATTTTGGCATTAAACTGATTGAATTGTTTTTCTAATTTTCTCTGAGCAGTTACAAGACCAATGGTCTCCAAAGCAATATTATAATATACATTTAATATAATATACATATGTCACTTTGGAGGATGGGGAGAAAGTTTATAGCTTCTAGATAGATCTTGGCCATGTGTAGAGTCACATTTCACACTGCACACTGACACAGATGAAATGAATAAGAAGCTAAAGGCAGTGACACTTCTAATCTTGGTACCTGCCTATCCTCAACCACCTTATAACAGATAAAAAGACAATCTAGGGCCAATGAGATGGCTCAGTGGTTAAAGTGCTTGCCACACAGGCGTGGCAATCTGAGATCCATTCCTGGAGTCCAGATCAAAGGAGAAGGAGAGACCAACTCCACAGGGATGTCCTCTGACCTCTCTATATATGCCACAGTACCAATAACATACACATACCAATAACAAATTTAAATTTTTTTGTCTTTTTGAGACAGGGTCTCCCTGTAGTTCCAGACCCCATTTATCTGCACATTTGATTATTTCATCTTTCTTTACTGCTGAATAGAACTCCATTGTGTAAATATACCACATTTTTGTTAACCACTCGTCAGTTGAGGGGCACTTAGGTTGCTTCCATCTCTTAGCTATTGTGAAAAGAGCAGCAACAAACATGGTTGTACAAGTGTCGCTGTAATAGGATGAGTCCTTTGGGTATATCTTGTCTAATCCTTAAAAAGATTTTAGGGTTACCTCTTTGGCGGGGGGGAATGTTAGAGTAGCAAAAAGCCCCATAAAAATAAATCAAAGCAGAAGAAAGAGTTCATGAAGTTGGGGGCTGGAGAGATGGTTCAGTGGTTAAGAGCACTGACTGCTCTTGCAGAGGACCCAGGTTTGATTCCCAGCACCCACATGGCGGCTATAAACCATCCTTAACTCCAGTTCCAGGGAAATCCGAAGCCCTTTTCTGACCTCAGTGGCATTGTGACACGGGTGTACTCACAGACATACAGGCAACACACTCATACACATAAAATAAAATAAAAATAATAAAATATTTTAAGAAAGAGTACATGAAGTTATCAGAAAAAAGTGATGGGGAGATATGGGAGGAGTTGGAGGGGAGGGAGTGGGCATGGATTTGATCAAAACACTTATATGCCTGTGTGAAATTCTCAGTTAAAAAAGAAAACCAAACAAAAAACAAAACAAAACAAAAAACTGGGAAGGAACTAAACAGTCTCCAAAAGCCATCAGCAGCAACACTGCTAAAACAAATGAGAAGCACAGTATCATTTTTCAGAATGAAGTTATTTGTGTTGCCATTAAGACTGTGGACTAGATACTTTCCAAGAAATTGTATGCCATAAGTCCATTATTTAGAACATTAAGAAAGTGATGAATAATTTAAAGAAAATATTCATTTCTCTTATCATCCAGAATAATGAACATTTTTAAAAATAGTGATTTATAGGGGCAATTTTGTATTCCTGTCTTGACCTTGACTTGAGTAAATATCTGCTATTGTCCTTAAGCTGTTTCATACGGGATTTTCTCACAGCAATGAGAAAAATCACAACACAGCCATCTCACCATGCTGATTCTGCGGACACCCAGGCATCGGCAAGCTAGCCGTGTCTCAGCCTCTTCACCTCCTTTCTCCAGAATTTTACAATTTTCCAATTCTCAAGGTCTTTCATTTTTTAGTTATACTTATTCCTAGGGTTTTTGGTGGCTATTTATAATGGAATTGATTTCCTGAGCTCTTACTAAATGCACTCCCTACTAGAATACAAAGCTGCTGAACTTTCTTTGTTGATTATATATCCTCCTATTTTGTTCTTTTATTCTTTGTGCTTA